AATACCATGCATCTCCTGCCCTTGTTATTCTAGGTGATAGATGATGCAGATTTGGAAGGTGCTGTTACAGTAGCCTTGACAAATTATCATTAACTTTTGTTGCAGCAGCCTTCACATATCTGGTCAGAGACTATTAGCTGTTATGTTCAACTTAAGTAAATATCTGAAAGGAGCATGCTACATTTGAGATAGAAAAACCTGCAGGAAGGAAAGAGGCACTATAATTTCATGATACTTAATATGGGAAAAGGTCTAATAGAAAAATTCAGAGATTTTTGGGTGTTGTGAGAGAGGGATGCATACATGTCCCTCACTTCAGGCTCTGTTTCTTGTTGACTTTTTCTATTAAAGGCATGGAGATCTATAGCACAGAAAAAGTCCTTTAGACTATCGAGTCTGCACTGATTCAGAAAATCATCTCCTACTCTAATCCTGTTTCCCATTGTTTGGCCCATAGCCTTTTATGCCTTGGCATTACAAGGACACATCTAAATACTTCCAAAATGTGTGAGACCTTTTGCTTCTGCCACTCTTGAAGGCAATGAGTTCCAGATTCACATTGCCCTCTCAGTGAAAAAGAATTCCTCAAATCCTTGTGAAACATTGTAAAATATGAATTAACCTCTTTTCTCACTGTCTTATTACTTTGGTCATTCCTTTCCTGTCCCAACCTGTTGCTTGATGAAACTCCATGACCTGGTTTGAGAGCTGTCTTACCCCAGATTGTATTCCTTATTTGTCAACGTTTGCTCTAAACCTGATAAATGCTGGATTCCATTTGCATGAAGTTCATGTTATAGTGTCACATAGCATGGAAACAGACCCTTCGGTCCAACTTGTCCACGCCAACCCGGTTTCCCAAACTTAAACTAGTCCCAATTTCCTGCGTTTGGCCCATATCCCTCTAAATGTTTCCTATTAACGTACCCATCGAAATGTCTTTTAAATGTTGTAACTGTACCAGCATCTATCACTTTCACACAAAGGATGGTGCATATATGGAATAAACTGCCTGAGGAAAAGTTGCTCTCGGGTCCCTTTTATAATTTTTTCCCCTTCTTACCTTAAAAATATGCCCTCTAGTTTTGAAACACCCTGCCCTAGGGAAAAGACCTTTGCTATTCACCTTATCTATTCTGTAAAGCAGTGGTATTTTTCAGACTTTTGTTTCACTCCACATGCTTTGTTGGCGCCATGTTGACAATTTGAACACACTGCTGCCTGTGTCGATAGAATTATTGTTACATATTGATGATCCTGAAACATATTGACATCTGACATTGTACTGCAAGCAGCCTTACTTAACTTCTAACCGTGTGCCATGTACAGGTGTTTCAGAAGTTGTCTCTGGTGATTGTCATCTGCTTCAGATCAAGTTATAACAATGACCTCGACCAGGGTTGGTGTCAGTGAAAGTAAGGAGAAACCTCACCCCCGCCCCCCGCACCTCAACTATCCTAGCCACCTTATTTCTCTTGTCAGTTAAATCAAACCTCTGGATCAAGAGCAAATAAATGTGCTTTCCAATTCCATCCTTGAAATGTATTGCTCCTGAATGTTCACCCAGTAATGACAGCAGACCTAATCTAGCCCCTAGAAAGACCCTGTTGTCAAATTTACATTGAGTATGTTTGTATGTAAATATTTAATGATTTAAAACCGGTTCAAGTAAATAAGGAAATTAATGCATGTGTAGGCACATGTTTATCTACTTATATTCCACTAACTAAGGTTTGCTCATATCCTAAGGAATCTTTCACTTAGTTAACAATACATGTGGAATTTTGTGAACAAATTAGGCTTAAAGTTGAAGGTACTGTCAAGTTTTGTAGATGCGCAGAGTTAATTTGTGGATCAAATTTTTGATTGGCATAAATTGTGGCAGTACATAACCTCCTTGTACTCTGACAGAAATATCAAGACTTGCCTTAAATGCTAGAAGCTCCAAAGGGTCATTGTTTTTAGTCATCTTTGTAGCAATAACTGGCAGCTCAACTCATTTTTAAACATGTCATTTTAGGTGCAGTCTTCAAAGATAGTTTCCTTTATCTGATCAATAGTTGGCTGACAGTCTCTGGCTGTAATTTTTTTCGGCTGCCCTAATGACACAACAAGCATGAAGACAGAAGCTTCAAAGGTTTATGAATGTCAGCAGAGACTGAATTGCTGATGACTTTCATTACCAGATGTCATTTGTTTGTAATAAAAAGTTAACAGCTTATATGTTTATTTGAATAGAATTGATGCTATTTCACACATTTGCATACAGTGTTTAAACCTGATAGAAATAGTATTTTGCAAAAAGGGTAATAGATTTGATTGGCACAGACGATAGCCTGGGTTGGATGATAAGCCATACTCTGGTAAGCTAAGTGATTGACAGCATCACCCAAGTTAGGTCAATCTAACTGTCTAAACCTTATGCCCCAATATGTTGGCTTTCTTCTTCTGTTTCCATGTTCCACTTTTATTTACCATTGGAACTCCTTGGTTGCTCCAATGTTCTTCAACACTGCCTACCATTCTAACTGTCCGAGCTTACCATTGAAACTCCCTTTCACAGGATCAGAGGATTGTGTAACATCTTGTTCTGTACTTGTTACAATAGAGTAAGCTGGTACATGTGAAAAATTGCTTGACAATTCATGATTTGTTTCACAAGATCCTAAACTCCTATGAGTAATATAATATCAAAGATAGATCTAAATAATTTTAGCTAAGCTTGTCAGTAACTCTTTCATTGAAAACATCAGGTGAAAAAATTCAACTCTGACTTGGCCTAAACAATGCAGTCCTTTTGGCCTGTGTTCACGTTCTGTCTAACCACCTTTCTATATAGTGTTCTCATCTTTTTATGGGAAAATGGCATGGCCCCCATGTATGTAATATTTCTGTAGTGATATATTGGGCGTATAAATAATTGATTCAAAGAGCTGGCACAGACACAATGGACTGAATGTTTCAGTCCTGTAAATATCTGGCTCAGCATAGAAGAGAATCATAAGGTTAATTCCAAATTCCATGGTCTGCAGAATTGGTCAATCAGCATCAAGGTGCCTGGAAGGTGCCGCACCTAGCTCCAGTATCCTGTACTGTTTGAATTTTCAGCTTTTGTTCACTGTGTAGCAAAGCTAGCTGGAAAGTGCATGGCTGGAAATGCTCCTGAAGACAGGATTGGGCTCTGCTGTGTTTCTGGTTGGAACCAGGGAACCTTAGTACTTTGGCTCATACATGAGGAATGGTCTTTGAAGTGTCCTCCCAGAGTGTTGATGAAATGATTTCCCAATAAGATTTATCCTCATGGCTAAGAAAATTGGGAAGTAAAAGCATATTGTGGAACTCCAAGTCACAGTTGAAAGTATGTTTTCAAAAGTCAAACCCACAAAGATATTCTGATCAATATCGCTACTGGTGAGATTTTGCATGATCCACTCATGAATTCGTCACACAAAGGCTTTCCGGTCAGCCACACTTCAGGAAACTGGGCCAACCAGAATAGAACCTCTCCTTATGTTTTTGAGTCCAAACTTTTGTAAGTAGGTGTGGTTTCCCAGTTCAAGACACCTGGGAGTCACTAGCACAAGACTGTTCAAAGAGGAGTAGGAGCATCCCAGGAAGCTGTCGAGCTCCTCGAGACTTGGCGTAGAGAAAAAACGGAAGCCAGGTGAAAACAACGAAAGGAGCGCACTGCCACACCAACACCCCACCCACCCCTTCCCGCAACCACCACCTTCCCCAAATATAACAGAACCTGCAGTGGCCACATCAGTCTGTACAGCTGCTTACGGACTCACCGAGAGTGGAAGAGAGTCATCCTCATCTGCGACAGAACCTCCATTTAGAATGAGATGAGTTTACAGCAATAAAGCAGATTGTACAGGACCTTACAAGCAAGTGAATACGCCTCCTGCATGAAGAGAATGGGTTAGTGTGTCACAGAATTAACAATGAACCTTTTCTTGAATGAAACACCAGAAGGATATATGGGATGACTGCCATATTCTGCTGATCATTCTGATAAATGGAACAGCACCAAGATAGCAGTTACAATTTTCTAGCTTTAGCCAGAAACTGTATATGTTGCAAATTTCTACACACCATGAGTGCACAAAATTAATTCAAATGCAGAGTATTACTTCCTTCTTGAATCCCTTTTTTTCAAATAACAAAGCTTTTCAGTCAATTTTCATCTATTTTGTTTCAGTATTGTTTAACTCCGTCTTAAATGTGCTAGAATGTTCAGCTAATTTAAAGATGCTACATGAATAGTTGAATAAATGTAACTGGGTACTCTTGCTCTGTGGGATTTGGCCTCACAGCTGTATTATGAAAATAAATAGAGACAAATGAACCAATGATGTGATGAAAGACTGCAATATTTATCCCAGCTTGATGGGCCCTTGTGTAAAGAACTATCAAACAAACCTCATTAAAGATTTTGATGGGAGATGTTTGTATCACTTGTAGTTGAGGACTGATGCTCAGAATTTGAATTACCCAAGAAATACCACTGCTGACCCAGTGTTTGCTTGCTTTAATGTACTAAAGGTTATTCTGGATGACTAAGCTATTGGAGAGAATGTAAAGGCCTGTAAACACTCATTCTTCTCTGACTGGAACTTGGAATTAAAATTGTCTCTGTCTAGTAGAATCTGTAATATGGTTAGCATTACCTTAGAAACTACCTACGAATATAAAGTTTCACAATTGGTTCATTTTGCCATTTGTGGTTTAAAGACTTGACTCAGCATCATATACATCATCTTATCAGACTGTCCGGTCAAACAAGATTTAGTCAGAAATGGGTGATGGTTTAAAATTTAAAATACCACTGCCTCACTGTAATTTAATTGAAAACCACGTGAGGTACAAATATCAAGTTGCAGAAATAAATGTAATTTCAACAGATCAAAAATAATATAAAAAACAATTGTTCACTGCCCAAGCAATATTTTGAAAGTTAAAACAGTGTTGTATCGATTTATTTTTTTTCCCCACAGGATGTTTGATGTTGGTGGACAGAGATCTGAGAGAAAGAAATGGATCCATTGCTTTGAGGGTGTCACTGCCATCATCTTCTGTGTAGCTCTTAGTGCATATGACTTAGTCCTGGCTGAGGACGAGGAGATGGTGAGTAATATATCATGGACTCTTGACTGTTCAGGATAATCTCTTTCTAATATTTCAATAAATGTAGAATATATGTTGATACTTTATAAGAATTTTCAGTGGGCAGTGCTTATTATTAGTGTCATTTAGACAAATTTTCACCTATTAAGAGCATTTTAAGTAGGCCAATTTGAATCCAGCATACAAATACATAGAGACAGATCTATTGAACAGAAAGAGGCCATTCGGTCCATCATGTCCATTCCCAGTCTACATTTCTAGTTTCATGCCTACTCTTAGCTCTTAGCGCTTAGCCCTATAGATTATAGCATCTCAAGTGCCCCACTGTTCTTCAAATGCCAAGATGATATTTTCCTCTACCATCCTTACAGGCAGAGTGTTTCAGACCCTCACCATCCTTTAGGCAGGCCCTTGCACCTCAACTCCCTTGTAATCCTTCTGTTGAGTATCTTGAGTATGTACCCCATTGTTATTGATTTTTGTGTTAATGGAAATGAGTCCTTCCAATCCACTTTACATGGATACCTGGATCTTAATTAAAAACCTATCCTTGACTTCTGTGTTCCAAAATAACCAAGAAATAATCTCTAGTTTATCCAATCATTCTTCAGCTGAAATGAACTGTTTATGATAACAACAGTCTCCTAAGTCTCCGCTGTCCCGTCTCTAGCATGAACTATGTGATCATATGGTACAGCGTGTGGTCTATTTGCAGTTTGACTGGTGTTGTTATACAGTTATAGCATAACTTCCCTACTCTTGCTGTCTAGGTCATGTCCAATAAAGTGGAGGTGCCAGTGGAGATTTTGACCAGTGGGGTGGACAAAATCAGAAGTCACACGACGCTAGGTTATAGCCCAGTAGGTTTATTCGAAATCTCAAGCTTTTAGAGCACTGCTCCTTCATGGGGTGAAATGGAAGGGAGTGCACAGGCATAGAATTTATAGGCAGAGAGATAATTGGAAGATAATTCCAGATAATTAAGAGTGTCAAAAAATAATACAAATGGTGTGAGTGGACTGTCGACAGGCTGGCTTAACACGTGTTTGCAGGTGGTCAAAAGTGTCAAATGGTGTGAGTAAAGTGTCAACAGTTGAATACCAAGTCAAGGGATGACCTATGATCCTGTTAATTAAAGCAGAGATAATTACAAAGAATTGATATTCACCTGATGAAGGAGCAGTGCTCTGAAAAGTTGTGATTTCACATAAACTTGTTGGACTACAACCTGGTGTCGAGTGACTTCTGATTATGGCCGATAAAGGAAGCTATCCTATATTCCCCCTTTAACCACCTTATCCACCTGTTCTGCTATCTTAAGGAATCTATGAACATGGGCTCCAAGGTGTGTCTGTTCCTGTACATTCTCAATTCAGCCTTGTTTTTCCTTTATTAAATAAATTACCTGCATACTTCTCCAGATTGAACTAAAATTCATTTTTGTGCCCACTTGATCAGTTGGTTGATATTTTCTTGCAATCTTCAAACTCCTTCCTCACCATCAATCATAGTCAATTTTTGCATCCTCTTTTAATCGCTTCTTAATCAGTCACTTCATTTAATTCTATCATTCATATATGATCAGCAAGGAATCCACTATTGAGATCACAGCAAATAACTTTCCAGTCCCAAAAAACCGGACAACCATAACTCTCTGCTTCCTGCCACTGAGCTATTTTTGGATCTAACTTTCCTTGCTTTGGATTCCATGTGCTTTTGATTTTCTGGCTAGTCTGCCATGTGGAACCTTGTCAAAACTGTTGCTAAAATCAATGTAGACTACTTCAAACACTCTACCGTCAGTGATTCTTCCTTGTAACAATGTAAAATATTCAGTACAGTTATTCAGACTCAATTTTTTTTTAAACTATTCCATGCTGACTTTTGTTAATTCATGCCTTTCCAAATGATTTACACTGTCAAGATCTTTTTCAGTAATTTGCCCACCACAGAAATTGGGCTGACTGACCTGTAATTCTTCAGGCTATCCTTTGTCCCTTTTTAGGTTTAGGGTAAAAGTTCGGCACAACATCTTGGGCCGAAGGGCCTATACTGTGCTATGTTCTAGTACAATTTTAGCAGTCCTTTAGCACCGCAGTTAGCCAGAGGACACTAGGAAATGATTTCTGACATTTCTTTACTTGTCCCCCTAAGTAACTTGAGATACATTTCATCCAGACTAATTTATGGATTTTTAAGAATGCAAAACATCTTCGCAAAAGCTCCTCCTCCTAACTGAACCCCCCTCCCCCCATTTTTATCCTGTCCAATATTTTGCATCCTTCTTCAAACACAATGTTTGTTTTGTCCTTCTGTTTTGTAAAAACAAATGCAAAGTATTCGTGAAGAACTGTGCCCATGTTTTCTATCTCTACACTCAGAAATAGTTAACCATAGTTTCTCTTTAGTTTTTCTTTCACTTTTTATGCATTTATAAAAATAAAATCTTTTGGGTTTTCGATGAGTTGGCTCAGTGGTGTAATTTCATGTCCATTCTTTGCTTTCCATACTTCCTTTATAATTTCACCTCTTTTTATATTCCTCTAGGATTTCCGCAACATTGAGTTCTTGTTATGAACTTTTTAAAACTTCAACTTCATCTGTGTGCTCTTTGACACATGATTGTGTTGAGTGATTATGGCTGTTGGTGGTGTCTAGATTTCGGTTCCTCCCTTTTGTTGGATTATCTTTGTTTCGTACCTTCCTTTTGCTCTTTCTTGACTGTCTTTCACTGCTGTGACACTGATTTACTTTCAAGCCGGTGTTTCTGATCCACTTTTGCCGAGTTATATCATTCTTAGTAAAATTGACCTTTCCAGAGTCTAAAGCTTTTATAGACTCTCAATTGTACATCTCAGAAGAGGCTCTTTGGCCCATCGAGTCTGTGCTGACCTGTCTACACTAATCTCACTTTCTGGCACTTGGCCAGAATGTCTTGAATGTTATGATGTTTCAAGTGCCCATCCACGTATATTTTTAAAAGATTGAGATTCCCAGGCAGTGCGTTCTGGATCCCCACCACCTTCTGAGTGGAAAAACAATATTTTTTCAAATCCCCTCTAAACTCTTGCCCTTTACCTTTTAAAATTTTGCCCCCTTGTTATTGACCCTTTGAATAAAGGGAACTGCTGCTTCCTCAGCAGCCTGACCATGCCCCTCAATCTGAGGCCTCTCAATCAGGTCCTGCCTGTCTCAGCCTTCCCTGCTCTAAAATTCAAGCCTATTCAACCTGTCTTTGTAGCTAAAATGTTTCAACCCAGAAAACATCTTGGTCAATCGCCTCCTCACATCCTGTGTGCAATCACCTGCTTCCTGTAGTGTCGTGACCTTTTATTCTATCTGTTTTTATCCTTTCCCAGAATAGCACTAAATCCAACTGAATTTATGATTATTAGCAGTAAAATACTCTCTACAGAAGCCCCTTCCACTACCCCAGATTTGTTTTCTAAAACAAATTTCAGAATTGCCTCTTGTTTGGCTTGCTATGTACTACCTTAAAATATAACCCACGTGCATTTTTAAGGCTCTGCACCTTCTGTATCCTTCACAATTTATTCCAGTTAATGTTACTTATAGTGTACTCCTAGCAGTGGGATTGCCCTTTCCTTGGTTAAACGTCATGATCTCATTTAATGCCCCTTCTAGCATATCAGCTGTTCTCTTAAAGTTGATGGTTTCTTTAACCAATATTACCTCTCTTTAATTTTCTCTTTATCTCATCTAAATATTCTGAGACCAACAATATTGAAAATTAATTTCCACCTTTTGCTTCATTAATACCTATGTTATTCTTCCACATATGTCAGTGACCTTAACTTATCACTTGGCTCCTTGCATCTAAGTGTTTACGAGTAATCATTAAACAACTCCTTTTTCTGAGGAAGGGTCACCAGACCCGAAACGTTAACTCTGTTTTCTCCTTCACAGATGCTGCCCGACCTGCTGAGCTTTTCCAGCAACTTTGTTTTTGTTCTTGATTTATAGCATCCGCAGTTCTTTTGGTTTTTAACTCCTTTTTCTATTTTGTAGCCTTTCTTTTTTCATGATCTTGCATGTGCAATAATTTTCTGCCTTCTATTTGCAGTTTTGTTAGTCTTCCTTCTCAATCTATGCTCAGGTTCCCATCTCCCTACTAACTTAATTTAAGCACTCCCCATCATTGACATTGAATCCAGTCCCTTGAGATCTAATCAGCCTCGTTTTTTAACTGATCTTATCTTCCCCCAGTATCTGCCCTAAAGCCCTTTGTCTTGCAATGTCTCCCTAACCATGCCTTCAACTGCACTGTCCTTGTAACTTTGTACTCACTCGGATCTAACACCGGGAAGAATGTGGAAATTACAAAATTTTGGGGTATAACTTCTTAATTCCTTTCTTAGCTCCATGAAATCATCCGTAGGAGCTCATCCCTCTTCCTAGCCATGTCATTAACACCAATATAATCAGTGATCACTGGTTGTTCACTGGTTACCCCCGATGTTCTGCATCTATTCAGTGGTGAGGGAGAATCTCAGGAAAAATAATATGCCAAAAGGTTGCAAGCAAAAAGCTGAGTGAAAGGGAAGCAGTGTAACCTTGTTGTAAGGATAATGTTAAGATTCATTTGATAAAGTTAGATTATGGTCAGGTGATTTTTATGATCAAGTGATTGCAACAAATATTTTAAGTCTTTTTAGCTGCTGTCACACTTCAGTTAAAACATCCTATTAATAAGTCCAACCTGGACCATAGGGCTACTCTCATTAGAGAGGTAACTGGTGGTTTAACTGGAAGCCCACTCTGCCTCAGGCAAGGGGAGAGATTTAAAAGAGGAAATTTTCATGGTAACCTGAGCCAGAGTGGGGCATTAAAACCATGCTGTTGGCATCACTCCATCACGAACCAGCCAGCTAACCGACCTGCTACAAACATAGAACAGGTCAATTTTAAGAATAGAGTCATACAACAATGATACAGACGCTTTGGTCTAACTTGTCCATGCTGATCAGGTGTCCTGAACTGAATTAGTCCCATTTGCCTGTGATTGATCTGTATCCCTCTTAAGCATTTTCTACTCATATACCTGTTCAAATATCTTTTAAAAGTTGTAACCATATCTGTATCTACCACTTACTCTGGCAGCTCATTCCATACACACACCACCCTCGGTGTGAAAATGTTGGCCCTCAGGCCCCTTTTAAATCTCTTCCCCTCTCATCTTAGATCTATCTAGTTTTAGACTCCCCTACCCTGGGAAAAAGACATTGGCTATTCACCTTATCACCTCATGATTTTATAAACCTCTTTGAGATCATCCCTCAGCCTCCAATGCTCTAGGCAAAAATGTCCCAGCCTATCCAGCCTCTCCTTATAACTCAAAGCCTCCAGTCCTGGCAGCATCCTTGTAAATTTTCTCTGTACCCTTTCTAATCTGATAACATCTAGAAAAGAACTTTAATTACCTACTAATTCCAAGAAAAAAATTAAAATGCAATATCAAACATGCATGCATGTGTACTAAATTTAAAAAGGGACAATGGGTCAAGTACAGAGACAGAAATAAAAGTTACGTTGTTTAAAAATTCTTGGAGTCCTTGAGGTGTTAGGATTTTAACCTGCTACCACAGCTGTTTACTTATGAACTTACGTCCCCAGCAGTGGCAAAGTGTGGAGTTCCTAGTGAATGGTTGTTTCCCTAATTTGATTTCTCAATGGGGTGTGGTGGGAAGAGAATGAGAGTGGGAGATAGAAATACTGACTCTTTCAGGTTTAGTTGTTACAAACTTGTTTTTCCTTCTCTTTGTGCTACTGAAAGATGACTATTGAAATATGGTTTGTTTGTGTAGTCCTAAGTCTAGCTGCATTGTCTTATCAAGTTGAACAGTTGCAGGCAAAAATTCATGTCTGATATCTGTAATCAGTTGTACAAGTGTGAATTGAAATGGGATGCAAACTTCTTGACTGTTGACTGGTTTCAGTGACTTTAAATAAAATGGTGATTTCATTCCAAATAGTTTTGTTTATTCCACAGTGGTTTCCTGGACTTGCCTCAATCAGTGGGCAGATGATCATAGCAACCATTTTAGGAATTTACTTTTTTTTGTAAAACCACTTTGTAGTCCAATTTGGAGTCTTGTCAGTCTGGACATGTTATGCAAGTACACTAAAATTCATCTGATCAATTTGAGAGTGTTTGGTGATTCTACAGACAGGAGATGGGAAATGTTTGATTTCCTAGCATTAAACGTGCTTGGATTTTTAAAATTGAACACGTGACCAGTCCCCTAGATGAGATCAGACTTTGAAGAGATCGTCGATCAAAACTTTGAGAATAATGTTGTTCTCTAGAAAGCAGATGTGCTTGGAATATCTGGGCTCTGCATTGCTTATTAAGTGGTTTCACATTGCACCAGGCTGGAAGTAAGCATGCCATAATGAAGCCGTTCTCTGTTCCAGAATCGCATGCATGAGAGCATGAAACTTTTTGACAGCATTTGCAACAACAAATGGTTTACGGATACCTCTATCATCCTCTTCCTCAACAAGAAGGACCTCTTCGAAGAGAAGATCACCAAGAGTCCCCTGAGTATTTGCTTCCCTGAGTATGCTGGTAGGTGTTTAAATGTTCTTTTTCTTGTCTTCTCATTGAGTGGCTAAGGCTAACATTTGTGACAATCCCCCAAATGCCCTTAAATGGAATGGCTAATTAGGCTGTTTCAGAAGGCATTTAAGACCACATTGCTGTGGATCTGGAATGATGTGTATTGCAGACCACGTAAGGGATGACTGCTGTCTTTCCCTAAAGGACTTTGGTTCACCAATGAGTTTTGTCATGTGGTTGCCATTAGGCTAGTTTTTAATTGCAGGGCGGAAGGAAAGGTGGCGTACATCCCATTCGTGAAGGGCACCCTCCAAAGATAGGAACCAATCCCTTCCTCCTGTTTACAAAAACAAATGGTTTTAGAAACACAGGTTTTCACATGCCCTCTGTGTTATGCAGATGAGTGAAATGGTGTGAATCATCATTATGTTATACGTCTTCCTGCTGAAAATGTGCCTGACTGAGGCATGTAAAATCCACCTGCAGCTTTCAACTCAGGATTAATTAATTGCAATTAAAGTCCACCAGCTACCTGGTGAGATTTGAGCCCACATTCCCAGGGCATTGACATGGTCCCTGGATTACTAATCTGGTGACTTTATCATGACATCACCATTTTCCCTTTGCCTCAGTAATAGAAAAGTTTGGATAGGATCAGCATTTGAAATTAAAAGAATGTTTGGTGAGCATTTTGGGTGGTCACCATCTGTCAAAGTTGGTGGAATCTGATCAGTCAACGCATCTGAGGATTTACCCCCTCTTTGCTTTTCAGATGCTGATTGATACTAGCATTTCTAGCCTGATTTTGTTTGAGATTTCTAATGTTCTGCATTCTTTTCAGATCTGAATGTTCTTTTGTTCTGATTTGGCATAGTTCAAAGAAATCGATGTTACTGATGCGAAGTGAGATTATCTTGATTTTTGACCTCCTCCCAAAAAAAACTTTGTGATAAAGAAAGATAATTTTCCTCAGTCTACTCATTGCAGTGAAATTGTAAATGGCACTCGATAAATGTATCAGTTCTGTTGTATCCAGCACATAAATGACACCCACATCCCCTTTTATTGATTGTTTCAAAAGATCAAGCACAAAAGTATGTCATCAAGTAAATGAGATATAAAGCGAGGATCAAAATGGAATAGAACCACTTCACAAGCTCAAAGTTTGCTTCACAATTAGTGGGTGGCACGGTGGCTCAGTGGTTAGCACTGCTGCCTCACAGCACCAGGGACCCTTGTTTGATTCCACCGTAGGGTAACTGTCTGTGTGGAGTTTGCACATTCTCCCCATGTCTGTGTGGGTTTCCTTCCACAGTCCAAAGATGTGCAGCTAAGGTGGATTGGCTATGCTAAATTACCCCTAGTGTCCAGGGCTGTGCAGGCTAGGTGGAGTAGCCATGGGATATGTAGGGTTACAGGGATAAAGTAGAGGGGGTGGAGCTGGGTGGGAGATTCATTGTGGATTCAATGGGCCATATTTCCTGCTTTCACACTGTAGGGATTCTGTGAAAGTACATGCCTTTACAAAGTATCCTGAAATGATTTTAAGATCAATTTTATTTGAAGTGCTCAGAGACCTTTTGTGTACACATCCCTGTAATACTGCATTAAGTCTGGACACAAGATTTCAAAAATAGTATTTTCAATGTTATTAAATGGAACTAAGTATTATTGATCTTGGTGAAGGTGCAGTGCTGTTTACCAGAGTACTACAGGAACTAAAATAGTTGAATTATGAAGACCGTTTTGCAGTCTGAATAAAGAACAATAAAGGTTGATCTACTTTGTGTGTAGAAAATGGTTGAAGGACTTGACACAATAGTAGAGAGAATTTCCTCAACTTGGGAACTGTGCCCTCAATTTGGGAATGCAAAGTGAGGGGTGGGTGGCATAGCCTTAAGTTTTCAGCAAGGCCATTCGGTGGTAATATCGGGAAGCACTCTGACGCACAAAGGATTATAGAAATCTACATGCCCTTCCTTAAATATTTCTTGGCTTCCATCAGTTGAGAATTTGACAACTGAAATTAGAAGAACTTTTTGTACTTGGGAAAGAGTGTTTGGGCTTTAGGGATTGTGTGATCAAGGCAGGTCGATTGACCGGAGGGGCAAATCAGCCATGATCAAATTAAATGGCATTATCATGTCCGCACGTGCCTGATCAGATCTCTCTTCTTTATCCTCTTTTGCCAGACGTGTAGTTGGTTTTTTAGAAGGTAGATGAATAATGCAGTTTTAGAATCTGATCACCACGAGTAGATTGCAGCCTTATCAACTCCAGGTGCATAAAGTACGAATTGTGTGTTCGCTTGAGTGATCAATTCAAACATGGTTGTGCATTGCTCTGTTTAAAGTGTGCAGCCCTGTTCATCATGTTTCTGTTAATGTAAGAGTAGTCCTAGACATTCATTCATCTCAGTCTCTGATATATTGGCACAGGCCCAAATAATTAAGCCATCAATGGAACACGAAACTGTTACGGGAGCTTGACTTCCATGACTTTGAAACTGCACTTTGCAGACTGCAGATGGCCCCTGGAGTACAGTAAAGGGGAAGTGTGGTGCAAGAGATAGGATCTACTTGGCGGAAGCAGCCCAGCTGCGGCTTCGGTGTGACTGCACAGAGACTGTCATTGGCAAGCTGCAGTGAGACTTTGGATAACATTGGATGATGTCTACACAATTAATCATTGAAACCAAGTCAGCATTTACAGGAAAAAAAAGACTGGTTTGCTCTTTGAGGCAGCTGGAGGTGCTATTTGGATCTAGAATATATTGTATGCATTCAAACGTAATTTTAACATGAGTTGTTTGATTTCTGCTACATCATCCTAGAGAGCTCTTTTGTAATAGTGTTTATAGCTAATAGAACCCCGTTTGTGAAGTGGGATGTAACTTCTGTGTTTTTGGTGCGTTTTTTTGCATTTTTTTCAGTTATACAGACACCTTTGTGTTGCTTTTATACAAACAAGCAAAGTATTTTTGGTATAAGATTAATGGTGTAAATGCTGTTAAAGACGTGGGAGTACCCTTCAAAACCAAGTGACCCATTGTTTTGTGTTAAAACTACATTTTCCTCCTAATTTCGACCCAAAAAGAGTGCATGAGGTTGGGAATCCATTAGGTGAATTGCAAACATCTGGGTAGACTTTCTATCCAGCCCTGATGCAGTTTACCCTTCCAGTATCTTTCTCCTCCTCCATTCACCACGCACACCCCCTGCCCAACTGTTGAATGTGCCTTTTCTAGCTCAGAGAGGATAGGCATAAATGATCTCATTCTAGGCTTTTACCAATGCTACTTAGAGCCAGCAGGAAGAGCGCAGAACACTGATGTCCTGGAGTCTGGCATTGCACATGGCAGTGATGGAGGTGTCTTGGCATGGCTGAATAGACCTATGTCTGTCATCCAGTTGTCTAAGATATAATGTGCTGTACATTCTTTTTCATCCAACCAATTCTAAAGTTGAGGAAAGCAATTTCACTTCTCTTGTGCAGTAATGAAGGAAGAGGAGAGAGAGAAAAACACAACTATAGATTTATTCACTTTACGTCCATAGCAATGAAAATACTAGAATGTATTATAAAGAATGTAATCCAAAGAGATTCTACAAATGCATTAAGAGCTAGAGGGTAACTGGAGAGGGGGTTGGGCCTCTTAAAAATCAAGGAGGTCGTCTTTGTTTTGAACCTCGGGAGATGGGAGAGATACTAAATGAATATTTCGCATCAGTTTTTACAGTACAGAAAGAAATGGAGTCTAGAAAATGCAGAGAAATAAACTTTGATGTTTTAAAAACAGTTCATATTTACAGAAGAGGAAGTTTGGGTGGTCTTAGAGAACATAAAGGTGGATAAATCTCCAGGACCTGATCTAATGTATCCCAGAATGTTGTGGGAAGTAAGGGAGGAAATTGCAAGACCTCTTGCAGAAATATTTGCATCATCTATAACTACAAATGAGGTGCCTGATCACTGGAGAATGAATAATGTTGTATCTTTGTTTAAGCAAGGTTGTAAGGAGAAACCGGGGAACTGTAGACCTATGAGTCTGACTTCAGTTGTAGATAAATTGTTGGAGGTGACTATAAAGGATAGGATTTATGGACATTTAGAGGGACAGAAATTGATTAGGGATAGTCAGCGTGGTTTTTTGCAAGGTAAATTGTCTCTCTCAAACTTGATCGAGTTTTTTGAGGAAGTTATGGCAAAGCAGTAGATGTTGTTTATTTGGATTTTAGTAAAGCCTTTGACTCATTAGTAAAGTTAGGTTGAATGGGATTTAGAGTGAGCTTGCCAGTTGAATACATAATTGGCTTAACGGCAGGAGACAGCGTAAAGGTGGAAAGTTGTTTTCTCGGACTGGAGGCCTGAGACCAGTGGTGTTCCATAGCATTCGGTTACGGATTCTCTTTTGTTTGCCATTTGTATAAATGATTTGAATGAAATATAGAAGGCATGGTTGGTAAGTTTGTGGGTGACACAAAAATTGGTGGCATTGGAGGCAGCGAAGAAGGTTTTCTAAGATTAGAGGGATTTTGATCAAATGTGTTAATGGGCTGAAAGATGGCAGATGGATTTCAATCTGGATAAATACGAGGTGTTGCATTTTTGGTACAACAAAAAAGGATGGGGCTTATACAATTAAAGGTAGGGCCTTGGGTGGTACAGTAGAACAGAGGGACCTAGGGGTTGTTCTGTAGAGGTTCTGCAGGACATTGGTGAGGCCCCTTTTGGAATACTGTGTCCAGTTCTGGTCACCCAGTTATAGGAAGGATATTATTAAGCTAGAGAGGATTCAGAAGAGATTCACCAGGATGTTGCTGGGTGTGAAAAGTTTGAGATATAAGGAAAGGCTGGATAAGCTGGGACGTTTTACACTAGAGCGTAGGAGTTTGAGAAATAGAAGTTTGTAAAATAATGAGAGGTATAGATAGAGTTAATGGTAGTTGTGTTTTCCCTAAGATGGGGAATTTCAAGACTAGGAGACACATTTTTAAGATGGGAGGAGA